CTCTTGTGCTTCCTTTCCAAATTTTCCACTTTTTTTTTTTACGATTTCTCTATACAAGAATTAGGGTATAGGCCAGAAGTGTGTGTCTGGGGGCGGGGTGAGAGGATCCACCAGAGACAGAGTGGGGAACAGATCAGGCAGATCTACTGAAATACACTGCTGAGGGGAGCAGCGGGCAGTTCAGAGGTCTGCTGTGCCATGTGGGTCAGCTCCCTGCCTGGGGATCAAACTTGAACTGCAGTGGCTGCAGATAGCTTCATAGTGCTGTTCTTAACCCCTTGCACCACCAGGAAGGCCCCAATGTTTCTACTCTTAACCTCCTTCAGAAATCACCTGTTATGCAGCCTCTCTGTGATGCTTCTTCCTGCTTTCTTCTTGCTGTTTCCTGTACCTGCAGGCCTTTTTCTCTTTTCTCTGCCTGACAAAGGCCTTTTTCTCTTTTCACCTGCTCTTCCTTCAAAGCTCCACTCCATACCCAGCAATTCTTTCTTTTTCTTTTTTTAAGGTTTATTTATTTATGCATATAGAACTGGGGTGCAGGCCAGAGGTACAGGGGCAGTGAGAGGATTCACCAGAGACAGAGGGGGAAGCATAACAGGTGGACTGATGAAGTCCACTGCTGAGGGGAGCAGTGAGTGGGTAAGGAGAGGTCTGCCGCACCATGTGGGTCACCTCCAGGTGGGGATTGAGCTCTCAGTGAAGAGGCTGCTGAACACTCTGAAGAGGTTGCAGCTAGCTTGCAGTGCTGCACCCTGAGTCCTAAGCCATTGCGCTCCTAGGGAGGGTCCAGCCAGCAATTCTTAAAAGCCCTTTCTGGCTCACCACAGCTGCCCTTCCCTCTGCACTGCATCCACCTGTACTCAAATCTATTATAACACTTTCATTGCACTGTGATTGCACTTGTCTTCTTAAAGGTATGCATTGCATTTTGTTAACTTTTATTCACTGTCCTGCTCAGGACTATAGTCAGGAGATATGAGTAGTAGACCTGGGTTTGCCACTGAGCTACTTTGTGACTTTGGGGGATCATTTTTCTTCTCTGGGTACCAGTTTTTCCCTGCATAGAGGTAGGGAGGCTCCTTTCAGATGAAGACTAGGATTCACTGAATGGATTTTAGCTCATCATCCTCTGGTCATGAGGGAGAAAACAGCAGACTCAGGATAAAGCGATGCGGCTCTGCAGAAATCAACTCTGTGGACTTGAGTGATCCCTTGGGATCCCTCAACTAGCTCTGTGCAAGGGAGATGCTTGCATTGAGCTACGCTTCCTTCCAGAATAGAGTTTCTGGGTTTATTTCAAGGGACACAGATCTCTGTCCACCAGTAAGAAGCATGAATGTGTAGAATGGTGAACAATTGAAAAAAATGGGGCTCCAGTTGCTTTTTTTTTCTGCCCTTACTCCTCTTCCACATGAGAGTGCATAAATCCTTTCTACCCATTCTCCCTCCCCTCTCCTTCTTTCCATGTTTAGCATCTGGTTGGCTCTTTTCAGTATCTGAATTTGCCGCAGTCATAGACTGACTGGAAGCCTTTTGGCAAGTTTAAAGTGCTCCTTCTCAGTCTTTGCTTTGAGATGAATTATTCACATTGTATGCACATCTGCTCCCCTTTGCTTATTCACAGCCTATTGTCTTTAAAAACAAAATTCATATCCCATTTCAGTCCTCTTCAACTGAACCTCCCCCCTTTCCCCCCAACTCACACACTTCCTAGGACTAGTCCTGTGGCTCATTCTGAACACTGGGGAAATCTCTTGATGGGCATCTTCAAAGCTAGGAAAGACGTTCTGACTTAAAGACAAGGACCTGGAGGTTCTTCAACCTCAGAGTGAGTGTCAAGGCTTTGGGCATTTCAACCAGAAAGGGTGAGTAAAATGAGAAGCACTGGTTTCTAACTGTGGCTGATCAGAAACTAGGCCGGTTTTGGAGATGTTGGGGCTCCGAGCCAGCCAATCCCAGCCCTTGGGAACTCACAATTTATTGGGGGAGTCCAACACAGGAACAGATAATTTCCACCTGGCAGGGGAGTGCTGGAGCTGGGAGCTGTAGGATAAGTTGGGGTTCTGACTCAGCTAGGTGAGTGAGACCAGTGTGGGAGCACAGGAAGAAACAGCTTTTTAGGAAAGAGTTGAGGGTAAAGGAGAAATTGTTTGCAAAGTGAAGAGATGTGGAGCAGTCTGCTGCAGAGTCCTCGCTAGGCAGTTAGTAGAGCTGTACTGTGTCAGGTAGAAATCCTGCAGCTCTACTTTGGGCGGTACCATTTCTAGGTATTATATTTATTCTGGACCCAACTTCTTGAAAACAAACTCCATAGGATGACGGGAAAGGTATAAGGGGGCCTAAAGCCTGACAAACAGGAACTGGAATGGAATTGTGCATATTTACCAAAGGAAAGAGACTGAATGAAAAGAAACTGGTCTTTTGTTTGACATGGAGTTTTAGATATAGCCAAAGGGTAACCCCCTGCAGCTTTAGCTGAACACAAGGAAACCGCCATTGACCTTTTTTTTTTTTTTTTTACAAAGAGAACATCTTGTTTTGGCAAGTTGTCACTGGAGAGATTCAAATATATATTTCCATTGGGTGGTCATATTATGGACACTAAGAGTTGGATTAGATGACTGTTGAAGTCCTGTCCAGTGGGGGGCAGTGGGAGTCCCTCCTGTCATTCCCTCTCCCTAGCATCATGTCCTAGACTTTCTGCTTATGCCCTTCTGTGACGTTTCTCCCTGCTGGTTGAAGTCACACTGCATGGCATACAACCAGGCCCTTTCCACCTTTCACTCACAGCCCTACTCCTCCAGAGCAGACCACGCACTCAAGCTTGCCTGCACGCTTGCTGTACTCTGTGCTGAAGACCCCCTCCCAACTTTTCTGTTTGTTTTTCTTTCATTGTACTATTCTCTATCACTCTGGTGCTGGGTGGATGTTTGTCACTTTTTGTCTGCATCATAATTTAGTGAATTGACTATTTCCCTGCTTGTCTTGATGAAGGGTAACTGCAGTGGCCTGCTCCCTACTACTCTTCAGAATGAATCTGAGCGTGTCAAATCCTTCCCTCATCAGTTTCTAGTTTCAACTCGGTGTCAGGCATGTGACAACTGCGCCTTCTCTCCAGGTGCTTTGAATCCAAAGATATGGAATAGGGAGCTCCCTGGTGGCCTAGGGTTAAGTCTCAGTGCTACCACCATACCAGTTCTCCTGCAGCAAAGTGGCCTGAGTTGGATTCCAGGCCAAGGAGCTGACCCATATGGCACAGCAAATCTTTCCTATCCTGCCTGCTGTTTCCCTCAGCAGTGTATTTCAGTAATCTACCTGTTCTGCTCCCCTCTGTCCCTGGTGAATCCTTTCACCCTCCGCATCTCCAGCCTGTACCCCAGTTCTGTATGAATAAATAAATAAATCTTAAAAAAAAAAAGGTAGATAGGTGAATGGTTGTATCACTAATAGAAATGACAAGAAGTTGTTTTGGGAGGACAGGGAGGAAGGATATTGAATAAAACTTTAAATCTTCTCCAAATGTCTCCACTTACATATACATCAGCTTTTCTCCTTTGGGGATGAAGTTCTATCATTTTAGGACTGTGTTTACATGGGTCTTAAGTCAATGGCTTGCCATTATTCTCTGAGACTGTTAAATCTAAAGATCCCTTCAAATAGCACATATCCAGTTGCAGGAGAGATAAAAGATGACTTGGAGATTTCAAAGCAGAAAGAAAATGCTGAGTATATTTCAGCTAGACACAGGCAAAAATGAACCAAACATATGAAGAAGTAGGTGTTACCTGGTTGAGAGGCTGATGATTTTATAATCTCTAAAGCTGGTGGTATTATGATTGCCTATTTTCATGAACCTACACAGAATCAAGAGTTTAGTGCTTTCTTCTGCCAATAGAAATATGAGATGGGCCCATTCATGCAATAAATATTTATTGGGCTCCTACTATTTACCATCAACTGTTTTGGGCAGTTACAAACTAGTGAAAAAAGCTACACTCATGGAAAATATGGAGAGAGAATACTTAGGGCAAACCCTCCATATCATGGACAGGATCTTGGAAAGTGTGGCTGGAGTAAACCACACAACAAAATCAATTTTACCATAAGCAATTAACAATCAAGTTATGTTCTGGTCACTAAAACATCATCAAGCTTCTAAATAAAGACCCCCAAGCCCTTCTAATATTAAGCAATAATTCATCTATTCATTTGTTTTCCAACCTGTTTATGCCAGTTTGGGGTTAATGGTGGCCCAAGCCTCATGCAGCAGCCCAAGGTACAAAGTAGGACCTATCCCAGAGAGGACACCTTCCCACCGCAGTATGCACTGTCACACACCTGAGCTTACTCTGACTTACACATACTCACTGACACCTGCCAAGGAACCCAAAGTGTCCATCTTTGGGATGTGGGAGGAAACCCAGGAGAAGACCTACCAGTCACTGGGAGAGCATGTAAACTCCACACACTCCCTGGCAGGGAGTCAATTATTTTTTCCTAATCAATAGTTAATGAAATGACTATTATAGCAGGTCCTTAAATACCACTGTTTTGAGGGCTTTTCATACATCCATCTATTGTTTTGAGTGAAACAATGTTGAGGACCCAGCTTCAATATAGCAAGTATAGCAATATCGCAAGTTTCCAAGAAATGTGTTGGTTCACTCATTTATATGCTATGAACAATAAAGATAGGAGATATGCTACAGGAGGGTGGGGTTGGCATAGTTCTCAGAATATTCAAAGTAGAAGGTGATAATGCTACTCTTCTTAATCTTTGAACATGACTGAGGGAGAGACAGTATAGACCAGGGCCACTGCCAACAACCTGTGATGGCCACTGTATCACAGGTATGTAGTTGTGACTTTAAAGGGTTTTCAAACCTTTAGCTTTTTATTATAAGTGGACAAATTAGGCCAGCTAAAGGAGAGAAAGAAAAATAAGGAGGAGAGAACTTAAATATTAACACTCTGGAACTTCTGAAAAATCAGTCAAGAAATATTTACTGAGTAAATCTTTATTTAGGCTCTTCTTTGAGAATCTACTTTATTCCTGGCATATATATTTCCAGAACATGTTCACTGTGGATAGCAAACTTTATGTACTGCATAGGACCTAAGATAATAAAAATTATGCAGACAATCATATTTATGAAGAGACCTGTTTATTACTGATAACACTTCATTGGCTAAAACCACAAGAAATCCACACACAAATACTTAAAGTGCAAATTCTCACAGGCAGTACTATAATACACCCTGGTGTTTTTGTAGGGGAAAAATGAAAAGATGTTGACAGAAACTGTTGAAACAAGGGCACAGTTTTGAATTACGGCTATAGTCAGAAAAACAATTTATCCTTAATTGCATGTATTCTGTTGAGCACACTCAGTGACGTACACAAAGATTTTTATTTTAGTCTATTACCACAAGGCCTCACTGTATATGGATGCAGACTCTTGGTCAACTGGCTCTTGTAAGATATGTGATGAGTCATAACACTGGACAAAAATATATCAAATCAAATCAAATTAGTTGGGACTCACTTGGAAGGCAACACTTGTAGGCTCAAAATGGCACTCACACTAGCAACATTAAGTCTGTACAGATATTTTCTTAGCCTTCTTGGTCAACACCTTGCTGTGAATGTAAAAAACCAGGTGTTACATACAACTTCCAAACAGGAACATACTCTCCTCTCCCCAAAGAAACTGAGTAGTTAAGGGTGTGTGTGGTTAATACCCCTTACTTACTATACATTTCAGGAATGAGACAGACTTTGAAAGCTGAATTAAAAATGAATGGTTTTGGCTGTTTCTTAAACTACTTGCTCCTTTAAAATAAAATCCCTTAATTCCTGTTGTCACCAATTAAGCATCCTATGCCAGATACTATACTAGGTGTGGCTATGAACACTAAGAAATGATGGCCCCTGTCTTCTAGAAGGCTGAGAGTTGGGTGTTCCTTCTTAATTAGAGAACAGGCCTGACAATAAATTACAAGGTTCAGTGGTAATATAACTGTTTCAGTACAGTTAAAGTTGACAACACTTTTAAAGGTCAGTTTCTATAAGGCAGGGAATATCCTAGATATGTTCTATGTTTATATGTCTCATGCTAGAGTCAGTGTATGTAACCCCAAGGATATGCAGGAAATGTGAGGAGGGGGGGTTGGGGATAAAATTGAGAAGCCACATTACAAACATGTGCTCCTTTCTGATAGCACCAGTTTTGGTAAAGATTAGGAATAATTTCTGCATGAAGCACTTTTATTATGGAGGATGCAAAATTCATTTACATTTTTAAGACAGGGCATGAAATTTTATGTTAGTAGTCGGCTGCTTCTGATTTTATTCTCAGGGCCTTTCCCAGCACTTTCATGCTCCTCTGCGTTTAGGGCATGTTGGGTAGAAAAATTTGAGAAGCAAGTTCCAGATATATAATTTTGCACTTATCTTGGTTACTCTACTTATTCTGTATGTTTTCTTTTTTAAGTTCATAGACTTATAACAACAGAAAGAAAAGACTTAAATAATGTAACAGGATGGTGAATATTTTAAAGTAAACAATGGTAAATACCAGCGTGGTTTCCAACTAGATTTAGTCATTCAGTGTATAGTCAGACAATGAAAAATTCTCTTTTCTACCTTAAGACTTCTTGTGGCTTATTGTAATATGGTTTGAGGGAAAAATATGGAATAAAGATATCCTTAAATCATGTGCTTTGAATGCCCAGAGTAGAAGGAAACTGGAAATAAAATGCTAAATCTATTTGCCACTCATTTTGATTAGTGTGATGCATTCCTCATCAATTTCTAGAGCAATCTCTGAAAACAAGTGGATTATGAAAGGCCACAATAAATTTACATACAATAATATCTAAGACAGACCAAAAAAAGACTAGGAAATAGATTTAAAATTATTTCCTACAGTGGCTTACATATTTTAACAATAATAACAAAATAACCAAGAGCCCATAAACAAATATAGTTTACAAAGAAGTTTAAAGCATTCTGAATGAATCCAGTTAAGATTTCTTATTAGTGAGGTAACAGGGCAAAAGTTTTCACAGTAACAAAATGTGTGTGGATGGGGGGGGTACCTACGGAAAGAGGGAGGTAGAGAGAAAAAGGCATAAATTAAAGTTATCCAAGTAGAGTTAGTATTTTTCAAGCATCACAGATATCAATGGAAAACATCTGAAAGAAATACCACTAGCAGCAGCTTATAGAACAATTTCTTCATTAAACTCCACCTAACACCTTTATTGCATCAATTCCAAGGGAACCTGCTTAAGGAATAGGAAGTCTAAGTAGTTAATGTCTTAGAACCTCTGTTTGGAAGTTATTTCCAAATAACAATACTTTATATTTAAACAAAATCCTTCAGTATCCTATAATACTATACATTCTTTAAGATGAACAAAATTATGTTCATCTCATGAACATATGAACTCATGCATATACAACTTACTCAACAAGCACAAAAACTATCTTTGAGCTAGAAGCATCTAGATATGGAGTGACACTCAATGGTATTTTAAGTGCTCTGGACACCATCACCTTTTCCAACTTGGGTTAAAAATAAAACATATTGGAAGGAAACTTAAAAAGTAATTTAGTATATACCCTTAATATTTAAAATTTTATTTTTTTATGGAAAGATCCTTATTCCCTTTTATACTATCCTTACTGGAGAGTAATATTGCCATATTACTCCTTACTTTGAGTCTTTCAATAAAAAACTCAACGAAGATTTATTAAACTATCTTGATAGCTTTATCCTCTCCAGAGTTAAGTGATCTTTATTTGAACATATTTTATTTTCAAGTTTTTTTCTTTAAAAGAAATTCTGCTATATTCCTTTCCCACTTCTCATATGATACTAAGATGTAACATCCTAGGAGGAACTGAATCAGTAAAAAAAGGGGTTCTTTTTCTTACTTCCTAAAACTTGACCTTAATTTTAGTGGTTGGTAGGAAAAGAAAATATGTTCACTATCTGTGTATCATAGTAACAAACACAAATAAGCAACTTGCCCACAGTAAGTTTATTCCCTGTGTTTAAGATAATAAGTTTGTCCCTCACAGAAGTGTTTTCTCTGCCACCTTTTTTTTTTTTTACCTATTGTTTGTTTATTTCTATTGCAATACTATCATAGCCAGTATACATTTGGTGGGCAAGATTCTCCAAAGCTCTAGAAAATCCCAATTTTAATGTACATGCTCAGTGAGAATGCATTCATTTCCATGAGATAGTTCAGAAGGAAAAAGATATACAATATTTACTTCAAGGCTGAGACCTCCTGGCCAGCTAATCTGTCTCTCCTGCTTAAAGCTTGTGTTGTTTCTGAAGTTATCCAGTTAGGAAAGTATATACCCACAATTTCATGTTTAAATTTAAATATCATGCTTGGACAGACTCCAGAGCTTGGCTAGAATCAAATACCTTCAATTCATACATTTTGGCAACCTTTTTAAAATTTTGTTATTTTAAACTTTGGACTTTGAAATTTCAGATAGTTTTTTACCATATGGTGACTTAAATGTTGTATTCCATCAAAGCATTCAAATAAAGCTGTTCTTTTTACAACAATGACAATTATGATGTGACATTACTGATTATGAATGGGGTTAGCCTATCATTTTAGCTCTACTTTGCTCTTTAGTCATGTAACACACATACTGAAAGCAAATGTACACATTTTATATATATATATAGCATTGTTCATACCATTTGTAGAATATAAGCCATTTCCTAAATTATAATCTACATTCCTAAAAGCAAGTAAAGCAACACATTCTACATATTTTCTCTTCAGTGCAAAGTATTTGAAAAAAAAAAAACATTCAGAAACAACAGTGTTCTACATTTAGTCAGCAGTCTTATTATCTACAGTCATACAAGATCCAATTAAATGAAAGTAAAGTGGGAACACATTAACAATAGTGGCAATAATAATTTGAAAATTATTGGTTCAACTAAATGTTAGCTGATAGTTGCAACAAACCAAACTATATGTAGATTTAATATCCTAATCAGTTCAAACTTTTTATTACTATTATTTTTTAGGAAACAAATGTTCTAATACCAGTTATCTTCCTTAGGCAATCTGTTGGTATGATTACACCCAATGCATGTTACTGTGACCCCATAACTATGCCACACATGGTTAAGTATTCATTGAATTACATAGGACAGTAACTCAATGCTTAAGAAGATTAAATAGCACTTGTCGATTAAGTCTTACTTCTAAGACTGCAAAATCAACCCAAGGAGATCTTCTAATTTTTTCTCCACATGAGAAAAGATAAATAGAACTGTTGTGATCAGAAATTCTATACAATAAGTCAACAAGATGTTAGAATAAACTGGACTTTAGTTTTAAAACATGTAGTTTTAGAGCTTTATAACATCTAAAGTTTGGATGTTTTATTTATTAGTAAAATTAGTATTATTTTATCTGATAAAGGAATAAATCCACTTAGAAAAATGAAATTTGAAAGTTGGACTTTTATGGAAATTCAAAGCTCATTTCTCAGTTCAGTTTTTTTTTCATTTACTTAAAGGCTGTGAAATGTGATGCTTGATTCTAACATGAAGATCCTTAGCTAAAGTTAAAGTGAGCCTGATTTCATTAAGATTTTTACTTACATTCAAAAATTTAAAAATCAGCAAACACATTTGATGTATATGGAGAAGCACCTATATATAGTTTGGAAGATTTCCCTCTACTGTCTGAAAATCAACTGATTAATTATAGTAATCAGGAACACTTTCAATTCATGCCAGACCCCGAGAAGGCACTAAGAAATTTGACAAGAACAAAGCCCACAGGAGTGTTGCCACTATTGTTTGATGTTCAGTAAACACTGTTAAATACATACATTTGCACTGCACCAAAAGCACCTGAACAGGTGCAGAAACCACATAATATCAGTTCTAACCTAGAAACCCTAAGTACCCTATTTCAAATACTCTAATTTGTAAATTAATACTTCTGATGTAACAATGACACTGTTCTACAGTGATCTGGAAGGAGTATTGTATGTTTGCCAATTTTATAGGTTAATTTCCTTAACTAATTCTACAATTACAAGACATTTACCTGAATTTTTTAAAACCGTGCTATACACAATTATAAGAATGTGGAAGTAAGCTTTATCATAGTTTAATAAGAAAACTCATGTTACTGTGTTTCTGTTAGAGTAAGTTGTATTACTAAAATGCTTTTAATGTAATGACTTTTGTTCCAGATTTTGAAAAAAGTTGAATTTCTCTCCAGACCACATCATTTTGAATTTATACAGTTTGTTTAGTTAGCCAACCAAAAAGAAAGAAAAGTGAACAGATACTTGGCCAGGTGAGCCAGAGCGAGAATGCTAACACAAGCTCAAGCTAACATGAGCGTGGAGAGGTCAGTCATTCTGGTTTATGTGCCAGTGCAAAGGAATGGTGGCTGGTGTACACTAAACAGAACGCCAGACCAGTCCATTTTTGTTGGGTTCAAGAAAATTCTCAATCATAGCTTCAATGAGTTTCTTCAGTTCCTCTTCTAGTAAGGCAGTATCACTGAGAAAAAAAGATGAAGAGTTTTCAAGTTACTTACATAGCCTTAAAATTTGCTTACATTGTTACACATTTTTAAGAGGGCACAAATGTGACAGGATAAACAAATGGTAAACAGAAGAGAAATTCACTCAGTTAAAACAGAACAAAGAGAGGAAAATCAAACACAAAGAACATATGGGTATGACAAGCTAAAGTTGAGCTGCATTAAAAGAAGTTCCTTGATACTTGATAAAAAGGGCTGAGTTACATACAGATATCTAAAGAATTCTTCTAGATCAGACAATTTAATAGCTTGGAACACCAATACATGATCTTAAGATTCAATGGCTTTCTGAAATACTTTTGAAGAATAAATAGTTAATATAGATATTAAGGTGACTTGCCTTATTTTTCAGGTAACCAAGAGAGGTATAAATAAAAGAATGAGAGCTTTAAAAAAATAATACAGGTATTTTCTTCAGTGTCATCACCTGAAGAGCTACTGTTGCTTTAAGTGTTCCTAGGAAGCTGTAGACCAAATTCACAGTTCTTTGAAAGAACACACAAGTCAGCTTTTATTACTTTAAAATCATTCTTGGCTTTTAACCATATATACTATTACCCAATTTGGTTTAACTAAAACTCAGCTCTGAATGACTTCAGGTCTTGTTTCTCCCCAGAGGGAAGAAAATCTACCCTTAAATGCAAAGACTTGGGCTCTAAAGGTAATTCCAAATTTCCCCTAAAATTGATTGTAGTACTGATTTCACAGTTCTATGATGACATTAAAAACCATCATACTATATGCTTGTAAACAGGTGAAAGCTGGTATGTAAATTCTATCTCAACCAAACATATGTAAACAAAAGTTATATATAAGTATATAAGTGATATATAAGCATGAAAGTTACATATATATTTAGGACTGTCAGTTCTCACCTTTGGCCGGGTGACGCACACATCTCTGCGTAATATTTGATCTTTGGTTCTGTCCCGCTTGTACGAAGAGTAGCAACACAGCCATTTTGAAAAGTAAATGTAATCATTTGGCTGCTTTTACTCACAGGCAGCACCTAATGCATAATTGTAACAACAGTTAAATTTTATACTTGACATCTTTTTCATTTTCAAGCGTTGTAAGATGTATTGCATCTATACGAGGTACTTAAAAGAGTCAAATTCTTAAAAACAGAAAGTAGAGTGGTGGTAGAGCTGAGGACTCATACTCTAGAATTCAGCTTACAACAGTCCTCTATAAAGTCTCCCATCCACCACACAAATCTGAGTAAGGGTCCTTCTGCAGTTTCATAGTGTCTTAGGCATCCCTGGTAGCTGTGACCATTTTGTAATCATTGCTTACTAGTCCATTTCCCCACTAGAATTAAGAGTAGAGAATCCCCAGTGCTTTATCCCCCCAGGCCTGTATCCCTAGTGTATTTGTGCCTGTAGAACACAAGGGTACTGATACATGACTACTGTACACACAGATGAACGTCAATCTGAAGTGGGAGAAGAAGTTACCTGCCTTGTAAAAGCGTTGCAAGCATCAGTGGAGAACAAAGACAACATTTTGAAAAAGAATATCATAAACTTTAAATATCTATGATGATATTAAAAACCACCATACTGTATGCTTGCAAATAGGTTAATACTGGTATATGAATTCTGTCTCAACAAAACATACATAAACAAAAATATATAAACATACAAGTTACACATAAATATGAAAGTAAAGAGAAAAAAGACATCACAAAATAACTCTTAAATACAGCATGAGAGAAATAAATAGCACATGATTTGGCACTTCAAGTAGTTTACACACACACATGCATGTGCACCTACACAGAATACCAACAAGTGGGAACCAGTGTTTGATGACTAGATGAACATACAGAAATGGAATGAGTATCGTAACTCATATAAGAGCTGGTGATGTCTCAAAACATATTCCCCTAGAATCTTGACAGCAGAATATTATGAATGGACATTTAGGCTAATAACAAGAGCAAAACATAACAATAACACAAAAGATATGCTGAGCACCTACCACACAGAAGCTTTGAAAGGTATATCAGAAAATGCACCTGCCACAAACAGCACTATGATGATAAGTGACAAGAGTAAAGCACCACAGACGATGAAACCTCGGGGGGGAGAGCTGAGTATGGAGGTCTATGGAGCAGCAACAAGTGCTTGGAGAACGGCTAAGGTGGGAAACTACAGCAGCAGGGAGAAGAACAAAGACAGAAACTTTTAAAAACGGGTGCATCCAAGGAGCTAAAAGTTGTCTTACTTGGCAGGGATTTAGGAATAATGTTGAAAAGGCTAGCTGCAACTGGAAGGACATATATCTTCAACATTATAGGCTTTCAGGCTTTATTTTCAACATTATTCAGTATCACACACATTCTCACTTCCCTTTTCTTTCTGCCTCTTATCCCCTCCCTCCCCTGCTTAGAAAGTAACACAGATTCGAGAAGTGAGGAAGACAGAGTTGGAGAGCAGTTACAACTGTTCTGGAGAAAAACAATGGATCCTAGATTCATGAAACTTCCAGACTTGAACTGTTACTATTTTTTTTTTTAAGATTCATCTATTTATGCTTATAGAACTGGGGCACAGGCCAGGGGTGCAAGGGGTGAGAGGATTCACTAAAGACAGAGTGTGTAGCAGAACAGGCCGGTCAAGTGAAATACACAGGGAGCAGTGTGTGGGCCAGAGAGGTCTGCCTGCCACGTGGTTTACCTTGCTGGCTGGGGCTCGAACCCAGAACCCATACTGCAGTGGCTGTGATAGCCCCACCGTGCTGTGCTTTAACCTGCTGTGCACAAGGGAGGGCCTTGAACTGTTAACTATTTTACTGCAGTATGAATTATTACAAATTGCTAAAACCTTTTCTTAAAAAGTAGACACTTACTGATTTTTTATCAGGCTGGCTGCTGTCATATCCAGTGGTAATGTCCCGTATATGTAATATAGCAAATGGTCCACAAAATTTTGGATATTCATTTGGAGAATAAAAATTGCGAAGCCTTTCAAATATACTTTTGATGATGGCGGGATCATAACACAAGAAATATGAAGTTTTTGAAATATGATAACCATATCTGCACAAAGATTTAAGTAAAGTGTTAAAATCAGTTGTCAGATTAATCTTTAGAAAAGAGTTAAAGATAAGCATATGATATACTTTGTAGACAGTGGCTATCTTTAATTCAGACAATTTTAGTACTTTTGTTGGGTAGTATTAAAAAATGAATTAGAGAGCTAAAAATAGAGTAAAAGATAAAAACGGCTAGCATGTCATGATCATAACAGTAGAACTTACTTTTCATAAACTTTAATGAGTTGCTGCTTCAATGTGATGTTCAGAGTTTCCAGGTAAGATGCCATCTCAGCAACAACAACAGCTGCGCTCACCCCATCTTTATCCAAAACTGAAGTTCCACACAGAAAACCTGAGGATTAAAAAAGTTTTGAAAAAAGGAAAACTGAAGCTTGTCACAATTTCAACAGTTTCACATTTCATCAGAAAGGCCAATGAATTTAAAGGTCTAGAAGTTCATGAAATCCACTAATACCAAGTATTTAGGGGATGTTTAGATGCTTTTTTAATTTGCCAGTGAGAAACCCATCTACACATTTCTGAGATCTCAATGGTGCTTACAACTCAAAAAGCAAACTCAGAAGACAAAAATTCCTATCAAATTACTACTTTTAAAAAATACTCTCAATCAAATTTCAAATACTTTAATATTTACTACATACCAATCGATTCTTCAAATGCAAAAAGGACTTCTTTCCCATTTTTCAGGAGGTCTTTTATCCTGCTTCCAATCCATTTAAAACCTGGCAATGTTTCCTGAAATGCAGAGGATGCCATTCTAGTTAAGTGACTTTCTCATAAGAACACATTAGAGAAAACCTGTCGCTAAATGCACATAGCACTCAGTGATCTTCTGTTAGGTTGTTCAGTCCACAAGTTTTATGAGTGGTAAACACAGTCCTTAGGTACACAAATACACCCCCCCCCACCCCATGATCCATAACTTAGCAGTGACAGGTAACTGATTTACACAAAATCCATTATTTCTGAGTGGTGACCCACATAGTCACATATGTGTAACATAAGCACACACTTATATTATGATCATCTACTATTTATCAAGCTCTGTAACCAGTGCTTTATACTATACTCCATGTATTATTATCTTTTTTAATGATCATAAAATATCTATGGCTGAGGGCTCTCCCTGGTGCCACAATGGATTCAAGCACCGCATCATGAAGCTCTCCAAAGCCATTGCAGCATGAGTTCAATCCCCAGCCAGACAGCTGACCCACATGGTGTGGCAGACCTCTTCTGACCTGTCCACTGCTTCCCTCAGCAGTGTACTTTGTCAACCTGCCTGTTCTGCTCCCCTCTCTGTTTCTGGTGAGTCCTCTCACCCACCACACCTCTGGCCTGTACCCCAGTTCTGTAAGCATAAATAAATCTTTAAACAAACAAAAATATCTATGGCTGAAACAGCAGCTCAGTGTTTAGCATGTCTGACCAAAATTTGCTGCATTTAAGAAATAGAGCCAGGACTCAATTACACAGCATCTTGGAAACCACCTTTTTAACTGCAGCATATGTACTAATATAAAGTACCTATGATAATTGTGAGTTAGGTCCCTGAGTAGTCAAAAGCCAAAAAGCTTTTTAGTGGTTAATTGTGCATTTTGAACATTATCACATGTTAGAACCAAGTGTTCCTTTCCATAACAAAGGACCTTTGGTAATTAGATTGAGGACCTACCATCAAATGAGGCTACTGTTCATTTTAAAGATAAGAACTCTCTGAAAATTAACAGAAAGTGCATGTGATACACACTGATCTAATTCTAGAGCTAATTCACCTCTCTACCTCTTCACTGAGAAAAAGAAAAAGCCAAAACCTCTGCTGTTCCTTTTCCCCCACAACTAAAGCAAGGAAGCAAATTTATAATACGGCTATAGAATGATGATTTTTTTGTGTTTCTCTTTTGTGATCATTTCCTATTTTTCTTGCTATAGCTGTAAACAAGGAAAAGTATTTACATCATTGCAATTCAGAATATTTGGCATATGTAAGCCTTTGATTTCTTCTATTTTGTTTGTTGTGGTTTAGAAAGTGTAAGGCTGAAATTTCTATTTCATTAAGACGGGTACAATATTCTTTTACTCATCCAATTAGTGTTAAAACCCGTTTCTTGACTGCAGGTCAAGAAACATGCCCAGTGGTGAGATTTTCACTAATGTTTGGCAAAGACAGTAGAGGACAGGCAGCTAAGTTGGCATTCATACCAGAGGTATCAAAGACAGCCCACTTTACTCCTATGATTCACAAAGGCTAAAGATTCTGTCCCAAAAGAGAGCCATTACTGGTGTTCTACATGTAGAATCACTAGGTCTTAATTTACAATTTAGTTTCTTAAGACTGAACTTAGAGAGATTAAACAAATGATCACTGATACCTACAAGTTTTTTGAGTGGAGTTCGTGTTACTGGTGAGGTCACCAGGAGTGAGATTTTCCCAGAAAGAAAGTCAGATATTATTGTATGGAATAGTAAGCATTCATGTAATTTTTAAAGAATAATCTGATCTTAGTTTCAGAAATTCAAAAACTGGATGAACTTGAATCAAAGTGTCTTAACTATTGAAAAGATTAAGCAAGTGTTAAAAAGGGAGAATTATGCTTTTTATTTTTTATAGATTTATTAAATTTGTAGAACTAGGGTGTAGGTTACTGGTTCAAGAAAAGGGTGAGAGGATTCACTAGAGACAGAGTGTGGAGCAGCAGAACAGGCGGATTTACTGAAATACACTGCTGAGGGTAGCAGAGGGAGAGATAGGAGAGTCTGCTGTCATATATGGGCTTTTATTGTAAATATGTGTTGTAGTTCTAAGATACAACAAACAGGGTTAGCTCCCTGGCTGGATGGAGAATTATAAATGAAATCACTGAAAGTATGTTTTGATGGTGAGATGGCTTCATTTTTAGAAATAGTTTTAGCAAATTAGCATACAATATCTATTCTTACTTCAAAATGAAATCCTTCTTTAAGTGCAATTGCCTTCAAAATTTTGGAAGAGACTGTGGTTGCTAACATATAAATGTTCTTCACATCAGCATTAATTGATTTATTTTTCTTCCAGCAATCAAACATCCACCATCCAAACAAAGCTGCCAACTCATTTCCTGTGAAAACTTTCCAGTGACCACTGTAGAGAGAATGAAAATATAAAGTCAAGACCTTTATAGCTTCTCATCAAAACCCTGTGATTCTCCTTCATATAGGAGAATTACCCTCCTTCATATAGGAAAATTACATGGGATTTTTGAGAAAATATTTACTACTTTTCTAATTGACCATGGGTGACTTTTTGTCACCCTAAACCTTTTGAACAATTCTTAGATTGTTACTTTTATTCTCCTACCTAATGAGAAAAAAATTATGATTATACCAACCACTAAAAAAGATGTGTTAGAAGTGCTAATTACTACTACAATGGCAGTCATACTGTAATATATAAACTTATATCAGTATGTTGTACACATTATGTTTATGCATATAAATAATATGCAAATATTTCAATAAAAATAACTGAGAAAAAAGTTATGATGTCCTTTCTGTGTAAGGACAACATTATGGTGGCAAAAATACATGGCAAAAAATTCCTAAATGACTAAGATTAGAAATGGTTTTATTGATATAAAGCAATTTGTTAGGATGTTATGCATTTTGAAGATTAATATTTTCAAATAATATTAAAGACAGGAAAAATGCTTACCATAAAATGTTAAGTGGAAAATAATCAAAACTCAAAATATAAAAACTATGAAGTATGATCATCTTTATAAATACAAATATATATTTAAATATCTGAATAAAAAGGATAGAATAAAATGTCAAAATACCAACTTAAGGGGTTATCTCCAGATAGAGTGCTTATAGGAGATTATTATTTATTTCCAATGAGCCTATAATACTTACAATTAAAAAGTTGTTTTTCAGAGTTAAAGTTTTTAGATCAAGTGATAAGTTCACTCACCTCTCCTGAAGCTCGGCCACTGCCAGTCGGTCTGCATCAGGATCTGTGGCTAGCACTACCCGGGCCTTTTCTTTCTCTGCCAATCTCAGAGAAAGTTCCTGAAATAGTGACCAAAAGGTTGGATTGTAGTAAAGATGCCAAACGCAATGTTACTGTTCCTAAATGTCTGTGTTAGTGCTATGAATTTTAGAAGAAATATAGTTCACCTACATTGAAAATAAAAGGCCTACAAGTGGGGATCGCTACCACAGAGATTTCAGATGAAACAGAACATGTGATTCCAGTATCATTTAGAAGATATAAACTAGAGTGGTTTCTGCTTTCATAAGTAATCTTTGAATTGTCAGTGAACTCTAACTATGTTGAAGAAGCTTAGTATGCTACTAGTAACTGAAATATAGAAAAACAATACCAGCACAGATTCTCCTTCTTCAGGGTTTGGACATTTAACAGTAGAAAAGTCTGGGTCTGGATCTTTTTGCTCTGGGACTGGAATTGGAGGCTTAAAACCAAACACTTGAAAAGCCAACTGCACATAGTCATGTCCAACCCCGTGGAAAGATGTATGTACAAATTTCAAGGTGGTCTTTGAGTTTAATTCCCTGTAAAAGAAAATAATCATTTATAAAATATTAAAACCCATTACTTGTAGATGAGATTCATATGAAATATCAAAAGACCTCGAGTAGCCAAAACTCTCATGACTGGGAAGAAAGAGAATGGAGGCATTATAATCTCAAACTTCAAGTTATACTACAAAGCCATAATAATCAAAACCACATGGTACTGGAACAAGAACAGACATACAGGCCAGTGGATTTGGATAGAAAACCCAGATATAAACCCCACAGGTTTATGGACAGTTTATCTTTGACAAAGGAGCAAAGAAGATACAATGGAAAGTTTGTTCAACAAATGGTGCTGGGAAAACTGGGAAGCTACATGCAAAAAAATGAAACTAGATCACTACCTCTCACCATACACAAAAATCAACTCGAAGTGGATTAAAGACCTAGACATAAGAATGGAAACCATAAAATACCTGGAAACAAAGATGGACCAAACACTACACGACATATATTTCAGCAACATCTTTAAAGATATAGTACCCAATGCCACAATAGTGAAGGCAAGGATAGATAGATAGGACTACATCAAGTTAAAGAGCTTCTGTACAGCAAAAGAGACATTACAAAAAACAAACAGACAATCCCACTGATTCGGAAAAAAATTTCTCACACAAAACTAGCAATAAAGGATTGATCAGAGATATACAGAGATATACAGATATACAGAGAACTGACAAAACTCAACAAAAATAAAGTAAACAACCCCATCAAAAAATGGGCAGAAGAGCTAAAAAGACACTTCTCCAAAGAGGAAATGCAGATGGCCAACAAGCATATGAAAAAATGTTCAACATCACTTGTAATAAGGGAGATGAAAATTAAAACCACAATGAGATACCACCTCACCCCAGTGAGAATAGCACATCTTCAAACAACTAGAACAACAAATGTTGGAGAGGATGTGGAGAAAAAGGAACTCTCCTGCACTGCTGGTGGGAATGCAAACTAGTACAACCACTATGCAAAACTGTTTGGAGGTTCCTCAAACTGCTAAACATGGAGCTTCCCTATGACCCAGGAATCCTACTCCTAGGTATCTACCCAAAAGACACAAAAACACTGATTCAAAAAGATACCTGTACCCCCATGTTTATTGCTGCTTTATTCACCATTGGAAAGACATGGAAACAACCCAAATGCCCAAAAATGAATGACTGGATTAAAAAGATGTGGTACATATACACAATGGAATATTACTCAACAACCAAAAAAATAAACACATGCTTAGTGAGATAAGCCAGAAAGCAAAGGAAAAATACCAGATGGTTTCTCTCATAGCAGGAATATAACAGAACAGGTGAGAAAATAATGATAATGATGAACAGATATATACCAGAGACATTTTGTGGGGGTGGAGTGGGGAATGGGATCAAAAACAGTGGGGGGGAGGGAAATGCACTGGACTATGGTGGTGGCACATGGGTGATTTGGTGATGGGAAACCCAAGGGGATTGCAACTGAGATGGAAAAATGCACAAAACATGTAAAAATAAACTATTATAATAAATAAAACAAAAAACTCATTACTTGTAATATAATTTAAAAAGTTCAGTTCTGGAGAAAGGATTCATTGGTGGTTTGTCATCTTGATTCATCCACCATAAAATTTTCCATCAACCTATTACCTACTGGTCTTAGTAGCTCTTGGTGATCACTGCTTAGATTTGTTAGAGGGCATAAAAGGTGATTTTTTAAGTCTTATTCCTTCTGTATTTATTAGTTAGATTTGATTTTTTTCTTTGAAAAAGTTATCATAATTATTTTGTTAATCTTGATGTTCAGCTGTCTAATCTTTGATCAGTTGGAACCCCTTTAAGTTGGCTCTTAGATGCTTCTCCTATGACCCCATTATCTTAGAGAGATTATTTGCTTTTACAAGGTAGAAACAAAAGCTATGCTGGGGTCACTTAGTACATTTCCTGTCCTGGTCTTAGAATCAATCATTCACTTATCTTAGGAGTCTTGATCTTTTTAGTGGGACATAGTATTTAGAAAAGAAAAGAAACTGGGTTTTAGCAGAATTTGTGGATTTTTAATAATTTTTTTTGTATTTCAGAAAGAGTTCAATAAACTGAGTTTATATTGATATTTAAAATTTAAAATTTAAAATTATAATTTAAAAATTTATTTTCTTTGATTTTACATCTCATGCTATAATCTTAGTTCCTAGGGACAATAACATAATTACTGATTTGATTTATATGTAAGTAATAATTGTAGATCTCTATATATGTCTACTTAAAACCATTAGTATTACCAGTAACAATAGGTCTCTGAACTCAGTTTAATGTTTTTTGTGTGACTCTTTAGCTTCATATATGTCCCACTAAAAATACTGTCATTATTATAATTTAAAATTATATGAACTTTGAGATATTACTAAGATGGGATAGAGGAGGTTTCTTGCTTTGCTCACAAGAACATCTAACAGTTAACCAGAGGGACACTATACTGAGAGGCCCATGGCTTGTGGTAACTGAAATACCCTTTAGAATTAGAGACTTATACAGACTGCACAGAAGATAAATCGAAGAGTCATACTTCACTGAACAGGAGATGGGTGGAGAGACCTATCTGGAGGCTGTGGTCCAGACTGGGGGACGCAAACTGTAGCCAGGGATCCTGGGCAATGTAGGTAAAAAAGTGTGGAAATAGGTAGTCCTGAATGATGGAGGACACATATGGAGGAGCTGTGGCAATCCACAGAGAACGGTCCCTGGCAAGGGGAACAAAGAAGGGCTCTAGATCACACTCTCTTCCCTATTCCTACGGACTGGTACTGATTTCAAGCAGCACACTGACAGCTGAGTCTCAGATCTGGAAGCCCTGAGAGGAGGAGTATCAGTGGTGCCACCAATATAAACTAGCTCTATCTGCCTTCCCTGCCCTCCTCTGCTCACTCAGCAACTGCAAAAACTGGCCTCACTACCTACGGGAGCCAGCAAAGAACAAAAGGGAAATCAAATCAAATCAAAAAGCAAAAGCAATTTTACTGTCTAAATTACTGAAAAAAATAGGGAAATAAACACTGTAACATGGACAGATAAAATATGTAACACTTTCTTCTCCTCCCAGGCTGACTAGAGTTCCATCACCATCGGGAATGACACAAAACTATCTACCGAAGATAGAAATTGGGGAAAAATTAGCTAAAGGGTACAATGTCATCTTTGCCTTTGGATGCAGAACTCATTTTAGAGGTGGCAAGACAACTGGCTTTGGCATGATTTACAATTTCTTGGATTATGCAAAGAAAAATATTCACAACTATAGACTTGCAAGACAGTCTGCACAAGAAAAGACTTCATGAAAACAGTGAAAGGAATGCAAGAACAGAATGAAGAAAGTCAGGGCCAATGTTGATGCTGGCAAAAAGGAGGACTAAAGATTCTGCAGTTACTCTCTGTATCTATGCAAACTTTTGGTGAGAGGATTAATAAAACCTTTTAAGTGTGTGGCTATTTGTAAAATAAAAATTTTACTATTATGAGTAATAGTTGTTAGTTATAATTTTAATGTAATGAATACGGAACATATATTCACCCCTATTTCTTCCCTTATTTTTAAATCTTATTCTAAGTTAATATTGTTCTATATTTTTACTTAAATACCTGTGAAAACAGATCTTTTTCAGATCTTCCATGTATCTCCTACAAATGTCCTGCAGAGGATCTCTTTTCAGTGGGCTGGTGTCCACTAAGTTATCATTCCAGGATCCATTCCAGGGTTCCACACATTCCTCTATACATTTCAGAATTTCCTTATCATGAGGAGATGTAATCTGTGCGCCAGTTTCCCAGTAAACCTAGATGATAAGTAAGTACAGCAAAAATGACTGAAATGTTGACCAGATATTTCTGTAGTGAGAGTGGAGACAGTTGGCTTTAGAAAGAAGTACATCAAATTAGTCAGGGAGAAATTTCAATATGAGACTAACTTCATAAATACCAAAAGATACTGATGATAATAACTCTACAGAGATTCTTCACTAAATGACTGTGTGTTATCTCCCCTTTTAGAGGAATACAGAAATAATTATAAATCAAGTCAAGTATAGTTACGGCAACATTGTGACATTTGATTATGCATAAACCATAGTGTCCAATCATACTTTGAGATCGATAGTGATATTTAAGCTGAGAAATCATGAAATATCCATGAAACTTGATACTATACAATTTTTGTATTATGAAGTGGTTATGTTTTGTGATAAACAAGAAATTAGTGGAATTTATGTCACAAAGTCCACATCAGAAAAGATAATTAACATGTTAATTATTATATTTCATCATGTGTATTTATTGAACATAGTGGGGAATGGGTGTGAGAAGAGTCAAACAAACAATTCAGTACACAAGATAATTCACCATAAAGAAAGTAGATAATCATAGACAGTGGTGGGTACAATGAAGGAAATGAACAAGGAAATAAAATAAACAAGTCTCAACATTTGGCGATGAACAGTCCTACTGAGGAAAATTCAATTACAAAGACTCATAGGTAGGAAAGGGCTTGGCATACTGGAGGATCTGGAGGAACAGAAAGAACAGTGATGTGAATGGAGTCTGTAAGCACAGGAGAGGAAGGAACGAAAGGAGACTGAAAAGTAGGCAGGAGACAGTCCCATAAGCCCCATAGGTAAGTCTCTGGGTTTTACTCAAAGAATGAACAAGATTTTAAGCAGGAAACTAACACGAATGATTTGTATTTTAAAACATCTAGCTGCTTGATAGAGAATGGACTACAGAGGCAAACAGTGGAAGCAGGGAAGAGACCAGCTGGGATGCTGTAGTTCCAACAGGAAACAACAATGGTTTAGAGTGGTGGAGGTAGGAGACAGAGACTAGAGTAAATAGACCTACCATATATCATAGATGTAGAGTTTGTAGAGGCTTTAGTGGATTAAATGTTAAAAGTCAAGGAAAAGGAATAACCAAAGTTGTCTTTTTTTGATTTAGGGTGTGTGTGTGTGTGATACTGTCAATTTACAGAGATAGAGAAGACTGAGGAAAGAATCCATTGGGTGTATACATGGCAGCTTGTGGGGGAATCAGACCTCTTTCTAGAGACACTAATTCTCGTGTGTCTGTTAAACATCTCAACGGATACCTAATAGGTAGCTGGACATACAAATCTGTTGCTTAGAGGAGGAGATCTGGATTCTTAGTTCTTTGACAGCTGACCTCTCTTTTCTTGAGACTCTCTTAGCCCTTTCTTTATATGATACCAATCTTTCCTATATTTCTCCTATTTCCAGCTCCTCTTCTTTCTCATTTCTCTTAAAGTTGGTATTTCCTAAGATCCTGTTTGGACCTGTTTTTCCTATTCTACACTTTTCTTATTCTATACTGTCTCTAGCTTTTCATTCAAATAGAAGACAATTTAGTCTACATATTCATGTACCCCTGAAATCTAAAATATCAATTCAGATTTTCTCCCTGAGCAACAGATCTATATATCTAACTGCTTTTAGGATGATGCTACCACAAACTTAGTATATCTAAAACCGAATTGATCATGCTCTTCCTTACCTCTGTGATGTTAACACTACCCATTTAGCAGGCCCTGCCCAAAGTCTTACTAGTGTCAGTATTGTTAGTATTTAATCTTTTTTTCAGGAGAGACTAGAGTCCTCCAACATAAGAAGAAAAATATATAGAAGATCCTGGACTCAATACCCAGCAGCCCCAAATAGTAGTTCAATGCTGTGCTTTGTCTTCTGTTATAACCTCTGCTTTTCACCCTGCCCCTCCTGTTTCTGCCACGGGGGCTGACCCAGAAAATGGTTCCCGTGGCCAATGGGAGCCCTAGCAGGTCAGAGGGAGAAGAGAGTGTGGTGAAGATTATATTTCTCTGGCTCTCTTCCTACCAGCTCTCAATCCTTCTTCATGTGTTTGATAAAATACTTTATTTCTGAAATGGTAGAGAGGATGAATTTGGGATAGAAGGGGGTAAATCAAAGGCGGTAAAGCTATTAAAAGTAAAAAAGATTAAGGAAGAGACTTTTGTCATAGTCCATGCTGAGCAGTTACAAGGGCCATTCAGGCTACACAGTCTGTCAGCCTCAGTGTTTTAATCATTCTGTCCCCAGTGTCTATTCTTTTGCTCCCCAGTGTGAAAATATTCTCAGCACCTATTACTTAAATAAAATATGAACTATGAAATAAGTAGAGATGGGAGCCCAAAGGTTACCTTGTATCCATTGTCTTCTTTGCGGTTGTGAGAGGCAGTGATCATCACTCCGGCAACTGCTTTGAGTTCCTGGACTGCATAGGGCTGAAAGAAAAAAAAGACAGTAATAGCATAAACTCCTTTTGCTTCTTAACTAGCCATATATTTGATGTGATACCTTTGATTAAATAACAGAAAATACTCTAAAATGTAAATAGCCTAAAACCTCAACAATCACTCCAGATTCACTGGGTGGGGCGCATCTCCAAAAGGTCACCAATAACCCCCAACAGTTTGGTTCTATAAACATTTCTTATTAGTCTGTTCACTTGATCAAGTTTAATGAACCCCTATGCTGTGCTAGACATTCCACTGGAATCTGGAGATCTGACGATATGATTTGGAGACTTGCTTATAATCCACGCAGGGTCAGAGTTCTTCTCCAATATGTTTCTACTGCAACTCTTAAAGAGAGATTTTCCTTTTAGTTATCAAGACTGTGGATCTGGACTGCTAGAAATACCTTTCCTACCAGCAGGCACATCTACCTGCACTGTGAGAGGAAGTCCACGCACGGGGAATAGTGGTAGCTGGAATTGGCAACTTAAGATCAGAATCCTACAAGAATATCTAGAGGTCTAAATTCTTCCTGAGTTCTGCCATTCATTCAAACCAACAGCTTAGTAATTCCTTCTGGTTTTTTTTTTTTTTTTTTTTTTTTTTTTGCCATTCAGTGTATCTGCAATAAATTACTAGAACAGTTTTTTAGAGACTTTATTAGTCTGTAAACATTTGGTAAGATTTGTATATAAATTCATCTGGACCTGGCTTTAAATTTGAGGAGAAAAAGAACAATCTGATTTTTTAGCGTTTATAGATCTAGTCATGGTTTCTATTTCATATCAATTTTGATTTATCAATCATTGTAGGAAATTGGCCAATTCATCTAAGCTTTCATATCATTTCACATTATATTGTTCAAAATATTGTTTTTGAAAAAGTAAACTTTTGCCTGTTGACTTATTTTCTATTTATTTAATTTCCTCCATACCTTTACTATTTCCTTCCTTTTACTTTATTTGTATTTATTATATTTTAAGTTAACATTACTAAATTATATTATTATTAAATATTATTAGCTTAGTATATATATGTTAACATTAAGTTAAAGACTCAGTTCATTATTTTAATGTTTTTCCTGTACAATATTCATTAATTTGTACTAAAAATTTCCCTCTAAGTAGGCCTTTATTTACATACACCCAAATTTTTGCTATTTTTTGTTTTGTTACTGTCATCAGTTACTCAGCTCTCACAAAAACAGCAAAGCATATTGCTGTGTTTATAAACCAGTGATAAGCCAGGCAACAATTTGCTAAACTAGATAGTTGAAAGAGGGAATTAGCCAAGGAAGATGAAAGCGCAGCAAAGAAGCAAAAAATGGTACTAGTGGAAGGAAAATTTGAATAAAACATAAATTGAATTATGGGAAAAAAACATCAGAAATGATGATACTACTGCCATTCAAGAGATTCTAGATATGCAACCAGATAAACTTAGTGAAGGTGAATGTATGAAAATAAATGAGGAGTGAGGTTGTAATGAAGAGGGTAAAGATATGTCAGAGGAAGTAATACTAGTAAAAACCTTTGCACGGAAGGAACTTTCAGAAATATTTTATAACATTAATAGTACAGAGGATAAAATGTGGGGAGCTGATCCAAACTTAGAAAGGAGTACAATATTTTGCCAAACTATAGAAAAGGTAATCACCCATATTCTTAAGTTAGATGACAAGCAAGTACTGTTCAGACTCTTGATAAATATTTTTACAAAGAAATAAAAATACTTTTGTTCGTAATGTATAGGCATACTTTGTCTTGCACTTTGTTTTATTGTGCCTTGCAGTTTACTGCATTTTTTTTTATACCAGGAAAATGCTTTTACTTGTTCAAGGCTCAGATAATGGTTAGCATTTTTCAGCAATAAACTATTTTTAAAATTGACACTGCTTTCTTAGACATAATGCTACTGCACACTTGACAGACTACAATAGAGTATAAACTTAACTTAAACATGCACTGGGGAACCAAGAAATTCCTGTGACTAGCTTTATTATGATATTCACTTTATTGTGGTTACCTGGAACTAAACCTACAAAATCTGTAAGGTATGCCTGGTCTAAGTAAAAATCATTTTACAAATGTTTTCTTCCCCCTGTTCATTTACCCATTACCTTTTTTTTTTTAAAGGGGTTTTTTAATGTCTCAAAAAATTTTGGAGATTACAGAACAATCAGAATTTTTCTCATTAAGATCACTTGGTGTGGATTTAGCTTACACAATTATCTTTACAGTCCTCCACTACCATGCACAGAAAGGATTACCTGTAAATTCTAGTCTCCATTATATCTTCTTCCTTAATTCATGTTTAGAATTCCAAATGTAAGATATGGGTGTGGGTTTCTTGTTTTAAGTCTTATTGCAACAGGGTCCAGTACTATGGCTTGATAAGCAGTTCTTGTATTTTTTGAAATTTCTTTTGTGACTGTTTGATAAGAGTGAGTAGCCTACCAACATTACATCCTTTGTTTTTACACACACACACACACACACACACACAAGGAAACTGATAATATAATTATTTTTATCTGCCTAACAAATTAGTTTCTGAAAGATGAGCATTAAAATATGCCACCGTTTGACTGTGGACTTGTCAACTTGTTTATAGATCTGATTCTTAGGTGGTGCAACATGTGTTTGTTGAATGAAAATAAACTCACAACAAAGTTTGTCTTCCTTGATTATTAATACAAGTTACATAAGATTTGAATCCTGGTTGATTTAAGAAATCTTTTCCAGAGTAGCAACATATGATCAATAACACAACAAACTTACTACAAAAGGTGTAGGAACATATCTTGAAAAAAGGTACACAGGAACGTCTTTGGCCAGTAAAACTGCAGCCGTGAGTTTAGCAAGTCTAAAAAAAAAAAAAAACAGATTTCTGTGAGTCTTTAGCTTACCATACTCTCTGTAAAGTATATATTTCATATTATAATTATTCTGAATGTACAGTAGCCTAATACAACAAACTTATAATATGGAACTGGAACTTAAGTTACTTATAATATGGAACTGATTACTTAAGTTCCAATGCTCCACTTAAAATTGTTAAATAAGTTTTTTAAAAAGAAGTTTAATAATGAAAATAATTGACATTTTAATTTATTTTTCCTCTTTCATCTTTTGATGGCTCTTTTGCTAAGAAATAAAACCAGAGGAAGGCAAGAAAAAAAAAAAAGAGGAAAGTAAAATGCAAATTACCCTCTGAGAAAAAGTATCACTATATTATGATTACCTAATGTGAATATACCTTAAGGTGAATCAACAGGACTATATAATAAGAAATTACCAGCTACATAATTTCTCTTACCCAGTGCTTTTGACAAACATTAAAGTCATAACGATTTTATGTTTTAATGATCTATGTTTGAAAATTTTACTCCTTCCTGTAAAAGCTTTAAACTTTTATTTGAAATGCTTCTATTTACGCTCTAGAATAAACATAGCAGGTGATCACATTGCTATTTGACAGTTTCCTTTTTCAGAAACTTAAATTTGTTTTAAGGTTTTATTCCAATCCAATTTAACCTCTGAAACAATTAACACTGTACCTCTGGCTGCTACAGCTGCTAGTTACTTGACCCCGGGTGTCATATCCAACAACAAAGCCTCTCTGCTTGAAGTCTGAGAAACATCTTTCAAGGTATTTGTACATCCCCTGAAGCAGATAAACACAAAAGATTAGCTCCTGACTAATGCCTGCATTTTCTATGGCTGAAAATCTTTTATTTTTCTGTTATTGTATAGCTTCTTGGTTCCTAGGGAACTGGTTCCCCGCCTTTAAGCCTATGTTTGCTAATGTGGGAACAATACTGATCAAACAAATATCAGATGACAAATCTTTACTTCCTAGTGTTCCAGACATATTTATAATATCAGAGACAATAGAATTAAGGAACCGTTAAAGCCAATCTTATATAGAAAAATGTAGGAAAAAAGATGGGGGCATGAGATTCAGTATGCTAAACAAAAACTGTTAGAAGAGTCACAAGAAGTTGTTTCTTGCTTCTGGTCTCTAGAAAACAAAATTTTAATCATTTTAGGTCCTTGCTAAATCCTAAGACTGGTGAACTAAATAAAAGATCTGACCTATTTATGACACAAACATTTTTGATTGAAACTGGAAAACTTCATTAGACCATTTCTTAGGCTGGCTAGCCCTATTTGTAATTCCTTGGCTTTAAAATCTCAGGGAAAACAAATCTAATAAACTATGAAAATTTCAGTCAAGATTGCTGAAAAATGAAATGAAGTATTTACTATTAAAATATCACAATGATAAACAAAAACCATTTAGCTATCTTATAAATGACATGTTTAATAAATACTTCATTCTCAAAAAAAAAATAACACTTCATATTGTTATAGTTAAGAAATGGGCAAAAGAACTTAAAAGACATTACTTCAAAGAAGAAACGCAAATGACTAACAGGCATATGAAAAAATGTTCAACATCCCTTATAATCAGGGAAATGCAAATCAAAACCACAATGAGAAATCAACCTTACACCAGTAAGAATGGTATATATCAAATAAACTGGCAACAACAAATACTGATAAGGATGTGGTGAAAAAGGAACTTTCCTACATTGCTGGTGGGAATGCAAACTGATATAGCCACTATGGAAAGCCATATTTTTGAGGTTCCTCAGATCATTAAAAATGGAGCTATCGGCCCTCCCTGGTGGCGCAGCGGGTTAAAGCACAGCACTGAGAATCTAAAGCTGCTTCCTCATGAGTTTGATTCCCGCCTGCCCCGGAGGTGACCACATGGTGTGGCAGACCTCTCCTGACCCGCCCGCTGCTCCCCTCAGCAGTGAACTTCGTCGATCTGCCTGTTCTGCTCCCCACTCTGTCTCTGGTGAATCCTCTCACCCTCCGCATCTCTGGCCTGTACCCCAGTTCTGTATGAATAAATAAATCAATCTTAAAAAAAAAAAATGGAGCTATCACGTGACCCAGCAAATCTACTTCTAGAGATGTATCAAAAAACACAAAAATATTAATTCAAATGGATACCTGCACCCCTATGTTTATTGAAGCACTACTTAAAATAGGTAAAACCTGGAAACAATCCAAATGCCTGAAAATAGATGACTGAGTCACGAAGAATGTGGTATATATATATACCATGGAATACTACTCAGCAATCAAAAAGATAAAATAATGCCATTTGCAGCAACGTGGATGGAGCTAGAAGGAATTATGCTCAGTGCAATGAGCCAGAAGGAAAAAGAAAAATATCAGATGATTTCACCTAAAGGAGTAATATAGGGAAACCAAGTAAGACATTAAAGAAAAAAAATAGTAACAATACAAAACAAAACAAAAATAGACAATTATAAACCAGAGACATCTTGCAGAGGAAAGGGAGGGATTAGAAGGAGGGAGGGAGGAGCACAGGGGACTGTAGTGATGGTGCACAAGTGACAAGTGAATTCCAGGAGGAAATTCTAGGGGGACTACAGTGGGAGGGTGTTGTTTAAACAATGATACAAAATATATATAAATACATAAATTTAATTAAAAACTTCCACAGATATTGCTATATCCAATCCTTAAAACAACTCTGAAATGTAGATTCCATTGCCATTTTTGTCTTTGAACAGCTCTTCACAGAAAAGAGGAGATAAAATAAGACTGAAGTTTCAATTAATGACATGAATGAAGCTACTCAACGCAAAATAAAATTTAAAAACCCCACGTTGAAGAGAGCACTGGCCTGTGGTGATGGCACACGGGTGAACTGGTAATGGGAAGCCCATGGGGATTACAACTGAGATGGAAAAATGTACAAAATGAAGAATGATATAATATATATATAAAGCCCAAGTTAAATTGTGCTGATTTACTGAAGACCCTGGTCTTCAGTAACTGCTAAGTAACTGTGTGGCAGCACCAAATGAGACCCCAATGACTTCTGGCCACTTCTGTCATGATTGTTTCAACTTCTGTCCAACCTGCTCTTTATGGTGTATTTGTGCACATGATTTTACACGTGCTTAATATAGTCCAAATTGGCTAGGTTCACCAATTTTATCTCTGATGATATTATCCAAGAACCTCACACAATATGTTATTGTCTGGCATGAATATCCATCTTATCTTCTTCTCCCCATATTTGGAGCTGAAAAAGGGCTTTTAACCTTGCACAGTAGAGTCCAAACTCTTATAAAATTTTGTACTTCCATAGAAGCTGTATTCAAATCCTTCTTCCTCCATTCCCTTCTTATGAAGTCAAAAAATCGTCATTTAAAATGAAATTTATTAGGACGCCCAATATATAAAAGAATGAGCAGAAGCATTTCTGGAGGAACAACAGAAATGGAGGAGGCAGCAGGTATTCATTCATTTTGCAGACCTTCTTCCCCACCCTCTGCCATCAGTCTTTGCCTTAGATAATTCACTTAGAACAAAAGTAAAAAGCTAACTGTTTGGAATTATCAATTATTGAGTAGGATTCTGTGTACTGAACAATTCTCTAGTCCAAAACAATTTTTAATATATGCCAAATGCATTATTGGCCTCAAAGGGTGGCTCCTTAAAGTGGTGAGGAAGGTTTACTGGAAAGAGAAGTAACTTGATTCTAGAGTAAATTGCATAAAAAATGGGAGAAATAAAATTTTATCACACTACACAATGTCTTAAAGAACTTTCAAAGGTATACAAGGCAAACCATAGACTGGTTCATCTTTATCAGCAGCTTTTTGCCAAACTGGACCATTATCATCTTTTTAAGTTTGTTTCTTGTATTAATTAGAAATGTCATTTATCATTTCCTGGATTCAAATGTAAAGCAACATTGCCAAGAAGTTAATAATGACAACCAAAATAACTCAATCAGAAAGTTAGTATGTGACATTAACAACAAATAGTTCTAAGGGAAACCTGAAGCAAGACCAAAGGTCAGAATTTATTCTACATTTTTAGCTTACTTCTTGGATGTTTATTTTAAAAAGTACTACCTAATTTATAAAGCAAAAAAAAAAAAAAAAGGTGATAGTGCATATGTAATAATTACCTGTGTTGACTGTATTACTGTCAAATCATTAATATAGCAAAATCCTGCCCCCATAGCAGAACGAAGTCCTGCAGTCCCAAAAGTCATCCGGCAACAAAGACGATCTCGTAGCTCCTTGTTCATCCCATTCCGTAAGAGATTTTCAATTTGCTCTTTTGTTTTAGGATTCTATTAAAATAAAAAAGTATTAAAACTTAATCTGGATCACAAGCAAAGTCCTAGTATGAAGCCCTTCTGAGGAGTCAGTAAGTACTGAGCATATATCACAAGTTCCACAGTTCTTATAAATTCCACAGTGCTACCTGCTGGTACTATTATGTGTAAAAAAATAATACCCACCATTTACTGAGTCCCAAAGGACCTAGGGCCTATTGATGACAATTTCTGTATCTCTAACTTATCACAGTATTTTTTCAATATTCAAGAGTTTTTTAAAAATTTATAAATTTAGGGCTCTCCCTGGTGGCGCAGCGGGTTAAAGCACAGCACTAAGAAGCTAAAGCCACTTCCGCATGAGTTCGATCCCCGCCTGCCCTGGAGGAGACCACCTGGCGTGGCAGACCTCTCCTGACCTGCCCGCTGCTCCCCTCAGCAGTGTACTTCGAAGATCTGAGTATTCTGCTCCCCACTCTGTCTCTGGTGAATCCTCTCACCATCTCTGCCCTTCTGGCCTGTACCACAGTTCTGTATGCACAAGTAAATAAATCTTAAAAAAATTTTTTAAAATAAATTTAAGAATGATGGATTCAGAAAAAAGTTCTTAATCAAAGGGAACATAAATAAGATCTATATTAAGACTTAAAAGAAATATGGAAGCTACTGGATAAATGCCATCAAAACATGCCTACTCACCGTATACCTAAACCTTTGTAATTCAGAATGACCAGTTGAGACTTAGTGTTCTTTAAAGTCACAGAAAACCATTCAATTTATCTACAGTGTAAGTTGACCATATGAAAGTCTTAGTGTTAAATGTAGGTTTATGAGACTGAAAGTTCAGTCAAACAAGGATTGTGAAGCAGGACATAATATGAAGTAACAGAAAAACAAGTAATAGTTACTACCCCCAGTTTTTGACACAGCTCCTCAGATTCTTAGAATTTCTTAAGTGTAAGAACTCATGTTCTAATGAGGTAACTCAGGGTGGCTCACGGATGGCACCTGGATGGGGCGTAGCTACCAAAAAGACTAAGTCATGGTTAGAAGCTTGGTACCATTAGAACAGTATATTAAAACCCACATTTGAATTTTAATGGCATTAAGAAAATACATAATATTAAGAAAGGAAGTATATAAACCATATCTGCAATATAATTTCTTTAAAGCAATAAGTCAGTCTAAGTTGATTTTTCAAAAATAATGTAAATTTGAGCAATGGGATTATATATCTATATTTTTAAAGACTTATTTATTCATACAGAACTGGGGCACAGGCCAGAGATGCGGAGGGTAAGAGGATTCACCAGGGACAGAGTGGGGAGCAGAACAGGCAGATCAACCAAGTACACTGCTGAAGGGAGCAGCGGGCGGGTCAGGAGAGGTCTGCCGCCATGTGGATCACCTGCAGTGGCAGGTGGGGATCGAACTCATGCGGAAGTGGCTTAAACTTCTTAGTGTTGTGCTTTAATGCGCTGAGCCACCAGGGAGGGCCCGGGATTATATTTTTAATGCACTGAAAAAAAAAACCTGGCAGTGTGGGTTTTTTTCTATACCCAGAAAATATGTGGAAGAAATAGTAAAATTGTAGGTGTGTCCTGGTGCAGACACCCCTTGTCTAGCACTCCCTTAGCTGAAGGGGAGGATGCCTGTGCAGCGCCATGATCTGAACTCCTCCCTGGCATGCTGAATGAGCTGGCTGCTGGGAAAGGGGTGGGAGGCTTTAATAGGGAGTGATGCATTTGGGCTTGCTCACTTTCTCATTGGAGGTCTTGTGAAAGTAGCTTCCTTATCAGCCCACCAGGCATCAAGCCTTTGTTTTCCCTGTTTGGGGGTCCCTGCAGCCCCCTGCCATCCAGGTGGCAGCTGGCTTGGTAAGACTGCCCTGTTACAGTGTTGCAGTCCCTGGGTCCAGATGTGACAGATGCCACACCCTGCCAGCTTCATCAGCTTCAACTCCACCTTGGTGACTGGACCTTCTCCCTTTCCCTTTTCCTCTCCCCTAGAGATCTCCCTCTCCCTCCAAACTACTAGTTCATCATCTATCCACATCCTATTTATCCTTCAAGAGCCAGGCTCAAATTCTACTTCTTACATAGTCTTCCTGTCTTTGAATACCTACTGGCTTAAAAACCATTGTCAGTCTGTTGATCATTTACCTAAATGTTCTTTGTATTTTAAATTATTAATTATGAATGATATCAACTCATTTTCCTTAGTCAAAAATTCTACATTTACACATGTATAGGAGTCATTTTGCTTTAACTTCCTTTATTTTATATGGTATTAAGTTGTACATGATGTTCTACAACTTGCTTTTCTCTCTCAACATATCTCTGAGATTCTTTCAGTATATGCAGATCTATACTATTCTTTTTAATGGCCGCAGTGTTCCAGTTTATTTATCCTTTTTCCTATTGGTGGATTGTAAGGTTTTCTCCTAATTTTTACTTACATAAAATAATGAAATGGTCCAGAGGGAAAATGACACAAGAAATTTCTGAAGCAAATATCACAAAATAACAACATTACTTTTCTAACAAGGTAGGTTCTGGTTAGTTGAAAGCTAAAATGCCTTTATGTATGTGAGAAGCATAGTATTTTTTTTTGTTTGTTTTTACTTTCTATACTCTTTTAGGCACTGACTTGATCATTTCATAGTTTTATTTGGTAAGATAGGTGCTCATTAAATTATTTGGGGTTAAAGATCTCAGGCAAGATCAAATATACTCACTACCTGTGTATTCTCCCTCGCCAGCATTAATTATTATTTTTATTAATTCCTAACACCAGAGGGCAGCAAATTCAGTACCAATTAGTAAAAACACAAAGAACAATTGACCCATGAAAAAGAAAACATTCTATGAATAAAATTTGTACTAAATCACTAATGAAATTTTACTTGGAGGATAAACATTTCTAAGCAGAGAAGACATATAAAACATGTTAAAAAATGACAAATCAATTATGCTATCTCTCCACAAGGAGAGATGAAAGAAATATAATTTAGATTGTCAAGGGAGGGACCATAAAATCTAATATTTTTGCTAATTCAATATATATTATAAGTAAAATATGGCAGTATCAAATGAAGATAAATTTCTTTTTCTTGGGTTTCATGATGTTTCTGATTTTTCAAATAGGAACGAAGAAAGTAATGGAGAAAATATTTTAGTTCAAAAACATATCCAAATAAGCTCTGAAATGTCCTTGTAAAAAACCTGAAGAAATAAAACAAGAAACAAGAAACTTTCATCTTTTATGAAAGAAAAAAATAGGGCAAAGAGGCCTACTTATTTGGAGAATTTTAAGTGGGAAAGAAGCAAAACCTTTTAAAACTTGAATTTCTACCTTTTCAAGTGCACGCTATACATATTTTAAAATTCATAAGTGATTTCACATATAGTTGTAGGTTTTGTGGGCTTACGGAAAATTGAGCACACAATACAGGGAATTCCTATAAATCTTCCCTTCACAGTTTCCTCTGTTGTTAACATCTCCTATTAGAGTAGTACACTTGCTGTCATTGATCCAATATGGATAGATTATTATGAACTCAAGTCCCCAGTTTACATTAGGGCTCACTGGTTTTGTTGTACAGCTCTGTGGGTTCAGACAAATAGATACACCCAGTGTCCAACACTGTTGCATCATGCAGGACAACTTCACTGCCCAAAAACTCCATTGTACTCCATTTCTTCCCCTAGAAGTTTTACTTTCTTCAAAATGACATACAATTGGAATATTATTGTGTGTGCCTTTTTTCACTATGTAGTATGCATAAAAGATTCCTCTGTGTTGATGTGGCTTGAAAACTCATTTTAAAAATTACTAAATAACAGTTATTGTTTCTTTATCCATTAGTCTATTAAAGGGCATTTTGGTTCCATCTAGTTTCAAGTACATCTTTAACTTGGGAGGGAAAGGAATTAATTTCATTTATTGAAAATGAAAGAGTCAAGTACTTGGCTTTGCATCCTGAGAACTTATTGAAATAACAGTAAAGGAATAAAAAGAATAAACTCGACATGTAAAAGAACTGGGAAAGGATCAATAGGTGAGATTTCAACAAATTTCTGAAGGACTGAAAGTAGCATGAAGCGACGCACAATAAGTCAAAACCCAAATCATGTTTTGTTTCACATGACATTTGAAAACACCTACATTTTGTCCCAGCAATCCTACATTGGGGTATAAAGTGGATCTTTTGAAGATATTTGCACACCCATGCTTTATAGCAGTATTATGCACAACAGACAGGAGGCAGATGCATCCCAAATGTCCTTTGGTGAATGAATGGGAAACAAAATGGGGTCTATATATTTTATTTAGTCTTTAATATGAAAATACAGTCATATGCTATAACATGAACTTTGAGGACATTTGCTAATGGCTGACATTTGAAATAAGTCAGCCACAGAAAGACAAATACTGTACGATCCCAGTTAAAAGAGGAATCTGAAATAGTCAAATTCATAGAAACAGTAAGTCCAGTGGCCAGGGATGGGTGCGGGGTAGTGAGAGTGAGAGGAGGAATGGAGGACTCATAAAAAAATACAGAATTTCAGATTTGCAAGATGGAAAAATTCTAGAGGTCTGTTTCATAAAATAGAAATATATTTAACACTACTGAATTGTCAATTTAAAAAATGTCTGTGTGCTTTTCACCAAAATTAAAATTTAAATCTTGTGTTTTGTCTTCGGTTGATCCTGAAAATTGAAAATAAGGTAAGCACTAGGCTAACACTATTGTTCACTAAAGGCGCCAGTAGTGGGTTCAGATAAAACTTTCTTTTCTTCAGGCCTACTTTATATCTCCCGAGGGTGTCTCTGTACCCTCAAATCCATTTTTTCATAAGTTCTATCAGTGAACCATGCAAAATCATACCACAGTTTAGTTTGTTTCATTTTTGGATGGTGACTTGCTTATTCAGGTCTCCCTCTCTTCCTTCTGGGCTTCCCTTTCCTTCCCTTCCTCCTCTCCATTAGTAGATTGCTGTTTCTTTTTGTTG